TTTATATTACGAGAAAGGGAGTTGAGCTTTGAAAAGAATATCTTTTGTAACACATTTGTAACATATTTTTCTTAATTTTACAGTAACGCGTGACGTTAACTGTTTTATTTTTTGAAATTCTTAACATAGATTTGACATAGATTGATATATGATTGAGAGGTTGTAAATGCCAATAAAGAGATATTAAATGAATTTTGAGACATCGGAAGATTATCGAATAGAGCATAAAATCTGAATGCTAGAGTTCAATAAGAGAAATCGAGAATGGAATTTATTATGTTTTTGTAGATAGGAAATTTTATTTCTCTAGTAATAAAAAATTATTCTACACGCGTGAATATAAAAATCGAGTACCATCAAATCTACTATAAATCTACTAATGATTAATAAAATTAATGTTCTAGAATTTTGGATATGAAGAGATCCATACTAAATTTGAAAGTGTAACAAAAAAAGAATTCATCTATCTAGCAAATATTTGTTATATTTATATCTTTTTAAACATTCGGCCAATTTATTCAATTCTAAAACACTAAAGAAACAAGCTCCAAGAAGAAAATAACAAGAAAAAGTACTCAAGAATCTTTTATGATAGGATATGATATAGAAGATAACGGGTCTGAACGAAGAAATCGAAAATGATAATGATGATTTTCCGTTTCGTGGCTCAAACGAGATCCTTTTCCGGTAGCCTGGCATTGTGCAATGGTGAATTCTCAAACGAAAGTTCCATTACGAGAGCATACTGTGCAAACAGAGCCACGGACAACGGTGGCTTGCATTAAACTTTCATTTTCCATGTGCATCGAGCAACAATGTGAAAGAAGAGAGGACCTCTTTGTAAGATACTCCAATCACAAAGAAGGCTGAGGGTACAATGGACCAGAGAGATAGAGGCGCACGAAGGATGCCAAATGCAAAAGGCCAAAGTATTTTCTGTTCCGAAAAAGCTCGTAAATGTTGATAAGATTTGTTGGAGAAACATGTGGATTTACCTAAGAAGGGAACTCGTTGCATACAAAACGTCCTTTTTTATGAGCTGTCTTAATTTATTTGCTTTGCATAAAGGACTATGCAAACTGAACTGTGAACTGTGAAGAATCCGTTTATGATCCAATTATTACGAAAGAAGCATGATGAAATTGTTAGAATATTAAATTAAATAAAAAAACGAAGGAGAGAATTGGGTCAAAAGCTTGGACGAAAACAAATTGTTCACTCTAAGTTTAGAATGATTAAAATATGCGTGACAAAAACTTTTTAAATTTGAATTAAAAATATGTTTTTTATTAAAATAGAACCCTCTTGTACGATTATATTACTAATATCAAGTTTCACGAGCAAACAAATTATAAAATAAAAGTAGAATGACTATAATTATGCACAATAGAATATTATAAAGTTCATATTTCCCGCCATTTGTTTATTCAAACTATTCAATAATTCAATATAAGTGCAACAAATCATCGGAAAGTGGAACTAAAAGTACGCATCGATCACGGTAAAAATTCAATCAAGCAAAGAGCTTGATACAACATCTCAATGAAGTTAAAGCTAGCGAGAAATTCGAGAAAATAGTCAGCTTTCCAAAGTTTGCTGAACTGAACTGTCGCGAGACGGATTATACACGTTCGCCAATGGCCGAGCAATTCTTGAAAGTGGATACAGTGAGCGTCGAAGGTGGGCCCCATCGGAGAATCACGCTGTTTGATCGCAGTGTGTAAACTTGGGACAGAAATACGACAGTCGAAAGGACTACGGTGTGTGCTGAGTCATGAGTATCAAGACTCAGCTCCCGGGTGAACCAGCTCAGTAATCGAGCTTTGATATCCTAACCATTGCTCGCTGTCACGTTGTTCCGTCAAACTAACCTCTTTTAGATAAAAAAAAGATGCGAACCGTATCTTTGGAAAAAATGCGTGATCATTTCCGGAATGAAAAGTAATATCATAGTAATTTCGAGTTAGATTTACTATTAATTTAGTGTTATATAATTTCAAATGATTCAGAACATACATATATAGTAGAATCAATGTATAGATATCAATTTGATCAGTAACTGTATTCAGACGCAATATAGTATAAATTTTTAAGAAACATGTATCTCAATGATTAGTATTGAATAAAATAATTGAACAAAAATAATGTTAGAATCATGTTAAAATTGTTACAATTCATGTAAATGCAGTGTTTACGAATATTTACTACGTTTTAAATTCTCATTCTAAGAATAGAATATGATTGAGGTTAAGAGAAACTTTTATGGGATTAAAATTTTCATATTTCTAAATTTTCATATTTAATTACATACAGATAATTTACAAATACAATTACTATAGAATTTTATATTTGATATAAATATGATTACTTACATATAAAAGAAATGTCCTTTGAATTGTAATAAAGTAGGAATATTTTCACGAACATACGAGTCACTAGATTGATACGTTATACTATGCTTAAATATATACGAAACCGCGAATTTTTCGGAAAATGCCGAATATATCCGAAGATACACGAAATTATCAGCTTAAACCGATACCTCATGACGCGACATATTGCTTTTTGTCTATACGTATGGCGTTCGTTTCGATGTAAATAATTAATTCGTAATTTAACGCGAAAATAGTATAATAATTAAAAAAACGTGATCAACGTCGATGATTTTACACAAGATAATATTATTCAAACAAGTTTTTTACTTTACTTTATTCGTATCAATCTAGTATGTAAAAATTTCAATTCTGTATCGGATATTCCGAAAGACACGTATAATCTTGCACCGAATTCTCGAAAAGATTAAATTTCATATATTTTCGCATTCCTACGTTTAATTACATATAGACAATTTACAAATACAAATATTATAGAATTTTATATTTGATATAAATATAATTACTTACATATAAAAGAGAAATCCTTTGAAATAACGTAGCAACACTTTCACGTACACACGAGTCACTAGATTGATACGTTATACTATGCTTAAATATATACGAAACCGCGAATTTTTCGGAAAATGCCGAATATGTCCGAAGATACACGAAGTTACTAGCTTAAAGCGATATCTCATGACACGACATATTGCTTTTTGTCTATACGTATGGCGTTCATTTCGATGTGAATAATTAATTTGTAATTTAATGCGAAAATAGTATAATAATTAAAAAAGCGTGATCAACGTCGATGATTTTACACAAAACATTATCTAAACAAGTTTTTTACTTTATTTTATTCGTATCAATCTAGTATGTAAAAATTTCAATTCTGCATCGGATATTACGAAAGACACGTATAATCTTGTAACGAATTCTCGAAAAGATTAAATTTCATATATTTTCGCATTCCTACATTTAATTACATATAGACAATTTACAAATACAAATATTACAAAATTTTATATTTGATATAAATATGATTACTTACATATAAAAGAGAAATCCTTTGAAGTATAATAAAGTAGGAACACTTCCACGAACACACGAATCATTAGATTAATATATAATATTGTGCTCAAATATAAGTGAAAATCGCGAATTTTCCGAAAAATATCGAATATATCCAAAGATACATGAAGTTACCGACTTAAACCGATAGCTCGAGGCACGACATATTGTTTTTCGTCTTTATGTACAGTATTCGTTTCGATGTGAATAATTTATAATTTAGTGCAAATATAGTATAATAATTAAAAGTGGTCAACTTCGATGATTTTACACGATATTATTCAAGTAAGTTTTTACTTTTATTTTATTTGTATCAATCTAGTATGTAAAAATTTTTATTTTGTGTTTGATATTCCGAAAGACACACGAATAATCTTGCAACGAATTCTCCAAAAGGTGAAACTTTATATAATTTTTTTACATATTTTTACATTTAATTACATATAGATAATTTATAAATACAAATATTATAGAACTTTGTACTTGATATAAATATGATTACTTACATATAAAAGAAAAATTTTTTGAAATGTAATAAAATAGGAATATTTTTACGAACACTCGAGTCACTAGATTGATACGTAATATGCTTAAATATATACGAAAACCGCGAATTTTTCGGAAAATGCCGAATATGTCCGAAGATACACGAAATTACCGGCTTAAACCCACAGCTCGTGACCCGACATATTGTTTTTCGTCTTTATGTGAGGTGTTTGTTTCGGTGTTAATAATTAATTTATAATTTAGTGTAAATATAGTGTAATAATTAAAAGTACGTATCGTGATCAACATCAATGATTTTACACGAGGCAATATTATCCAAATAAGTTTTTTACTTTATTTTATTCGTATCAATCTAGTATGTAAAAATTTCAATTCTGTGTTTGATATTCCGAAAGACACACGAATCTTGCAATGAATTCTCCAAAAGGTGAAACTTTATATAATTTTTTTACATATTTTTACATTTAATTACATATAGATAATTTATAAATACAAATATTATAGAACTTTGTACTTGATATAAATATGATTACTTACATATAAAAGAAAAATTTTTTGAAATGTAATAAAATAGGAATATTTTTACGAACACTAGAGTCACTAGATTGATACGTAATATGCTTAAATATATACGAAAACCGCGAATTTTTCGGAAAATGCCGAATATGTCCGAAGATACACGAAATTACCGGCTTAAACCCACAGCTCGTGACCCGACATATTGTTTTTCGTCTTTACGTGAGGTGTTCGTTTCGGTGTGAATAATTAATTTATAATTTAGTGTAAATATAGTGTAATAATTAAAAGTACGTGATCAACATCGATGATTTTACACGAGGCAATATTATCCAAATAAGTTTTTTACTTTATTTTATTCGTATCAATCTAGTATGTAAAAATTTCAATTCTGTGTTTGATATTCCGAAAGACACACGTATAATCTTGCAACGAATTCTCCAAAAGGTGAAACTTTATATAATTTTTTTACATATTTTTATATTTAATTATATATAGATAATTTATAAATACAAATATTATAGAATTTTATACTTGATATAAATATGATTACTTACATATAAAAGAAAAATTTTTTGAAATGTAATAAAATAGGAATATTTTTACGAACACTCGAGTCACTAGATTGATACATAATATGCTTAAATATATACGAAAACCGCGAATTTTTCGGAAAATGCCGAATATGTCCGAAGATACACGAAGTTACCGGCTTATACCCACAGCTCGTGACCCGACATATTGTTTTTCGTCTTTACGTGAGGTGTTCGTTTCGGTGTGAATAATTAATTTATAATTTAGTGTAAATATATAGTGTAATAATTAAAAGTACGTGATCAACATCGATGATTTTACACGAGGCAATATTATCCAAGTAAGTTTTCTATTTTATTTTATCTGTATCTATCTAGTATGTAAAAATTTCAATTCTGCGTCTGATATTCCGAAAGATAAGCGTATAATCTTGCGACGAACTCTCGAAAAGATGAAACTTCATATAACATACAAAACAAAATATTAATTTAACTTTATGAAAGTTGTAAGCTTTATTAAGAATTTCGATCGTGCTATGAATCTCGTAACAATTGCATGAACATGTTTCTTTGTTATAAAACGTTGTATGAAATACTGCGTCATATCTTGACATTAAAATGGCGTCAAATATGGCGGTAGGAGAAATGTATCGATAGACTGTATTATAGTCGCATTTCGTAAATCAAACTATTTTATAATAATTATTTTAAAAACAATATGATATTCATAATATAAATTCTGTTTGGATTGAAAATTATAATAATTATCGTAATTTATAAAAGAATGATTATTTTTCGAGAAGAAATCGACACATTTTTATTTAATTTTATTTCATCATCGAATTATGAAAATATTTTTCGATCTACTAAAACTTTTAGTTTTAATAATTATTAGTCATATTCAGATATGATCAAATTCTAAATTTTTATACATTGTAGAACGGAATATTGTTTTCTAACCTCGATCGAAATTTCTGATTAATGTATCGAAATCCTTTTTGTTTTGTCTTCGTCTGTTCCATTGTAATTACGCATCGCGTGTCAAGAAGAAAGATTATAGATTTTACATTCATATAGTATCCGATTCCTTTAATCTAAAAACGATTTTTCATATTTTCCAAAGAAATATGCCCGTCTCGCGTGTCTGCCTATCGAACAATCGTGAAATCAAAGTTCCTTTAGAGAATTAGAATTAGCTTAATCATTCGGTCGTTTATTGCTTACGTTTAATTTTTAAATAGGATAGAATAGGAAAACTTTTTGATCGGACATTTTTATTGAGTGTCACGCAATCATATAATATCTATCATTCATTAGTAGAATATTTATAAAACAATATCTTCAAATAGATTTTAAGCAACATATTTGATTCTCGTAAATTATTCTAATAAATATTACGGATTTTGGGTGATTCATTATTCGGTATCTTCATTCTTTTGCAAAATCGTTAAATTATTACCGTTCTTTCTTTTTTTCGTGAAAAGCAGATAAACTTTATGGAAATTTATGCTTTATAGCTAGAAAATTAGAAGTTTTTCTTTTTAAAATTTTTGTAGATTATAGAGTCTAAAATATGTATTTTATTAGTAATATGTATTTATTATAAATTTTAGAGAAAAATAAAGATAAATGAGAAATTCATATTGCGAATTACTTAAATTTGAATATGGATTTCTTTTTTATTATATTTCCTTTTCTTTTAAATCTTATTTTAGTATCTATTCGCTTTATTCGTATTCGCTTTAGCTAATATTAAACGTAATTTCATTCTGTTGAATTTTCGAGACTCGCAATTTCGAAAGATTATCATTTTCTAAAATCTCACTTGGACGAATGTCTACATGTTTCATTCGCCACAAGTGTAATATATTCAAAGATATTAATCTTATTTCTTCGCCAAACGATATCGCATCAAACAAAAAGACTTCCCTTCCTCTTATTACAAAGGCATCTTCGCTGTAAAACTTCGATATGTGCAAAATCAAATTGGAATAGTCGAACAAAACAATCGTTCCCCGAAATCATTCATTCAATATCGCGTCACGAGATGCAAAAACCTATCTCGACACGGGAATCTCTTCGAATTCATCCGCTCGACATCAAAGGATTCATGAATGCCGGAAATGCGTTCCTTCAAGGATCCCGGGGCGCTCGCTCGAAATTAGCGCAGATTTCGGTCTAATGACGTCGGGGCCGGGTAATATAACTTTTGCTCGTAAACGGAGGACAAAGAGGGATAGTTAGGAAGATTGGTAGGATGAAGAGGGATGAAGGTATTCAGAGACAAATCAGTCGAGCTCTCTCGCGACGTTAAGCCTGGAGAATCTATCTAATTTAGGGTCATATCGGAGGGAGTAGCCCTACAAGATATACCACGTAGGGGAGATTTCGCCCGAGGACCAAACCACTAATCCTTGTGTGGTAATCGACGATTTCCGCCCCTAAATTGTTCCTTCCTCTGTGGGGGTCTCTCAGGAGGTTGCGGAACAAAGCTTAAACGCGTCGGCCCTTTTGTTCTTCGAAACGCGACAGTAACTTTGACGATATAATTGTTTCGATTATCGTTGGATACGATAGTGATAATGGATAGATTGGATTATTGTGGGAGAATCTAGATTTCTTGGGAAGAATAGCTAGGTTTCGACGATTGAAAAAAGAGAAATTGTTAGTAATAGATAATAATAAACGTAATATCATTTATTTTCTCTTATTACCTTGTAATATAATATTTTAAATTCGTGGATGGTGCACATGTTTAGGGATTATTAAAAATATCTTTTAGATAATTATGCATATTCGTTCGATAGAAAAATTAGCGATAATTGTACGAAGAAGAATAGTGTTGTTTTGAATTGATAGATTCGATTATTAAATAGATTAAATTAGAGGACAAGCTTTTATCAGAGGGAAAGCAAGCAAGATTTTAGTACAATATCAAAAAGTGATCGCGTTAAATTCAGTGCAATAGACAGTTTGGTAATTCATGCGACATCGCGACTATCTTGAGACATCTAACGCTAATGAAACGCCCTGGGCCAATAGGAAATTGCACCTCGGTAAACATTAATAAACTTATACACACGCGTCCTATTTACTGATATATCACGGTATAGTGATACGTGGTATCTAATTTCAACCAGTAACTCGTTTCATTTCGAGAAAATTTAATCAACAGTCCCAAAATTTAGTTCATCCATCTTCCTCCCTCCCCTCCCCAAAATAGAAAGAATAATAAATAACATCAACATTTATTACTTTTCGAAGCAACTCGTGATAATTACATTCTCAAATGTTATTACGCAGAGAACCTTAGAAACTTGTTATTACAATTACTCGCGTTAAAAGTCGAGGAAAAGAAGGGAGCAGAGATATAAAGCGGAAGAAATCTGTTTCGCTCGATAACCGATTAAAACGCACGAGTACGAACCGGCAACCGGAAATCCTCTTACGCAAAGATTACGCTCGGTCGAATTTAAGGCGGCAACTAATCGCGTAATACTTGCCGCGCGGGTTTTAAGAAGATTAATGCCCCAAGAATGTATTTGCCGTTCGGCAAATTCTAGTTTATTTATATGCCGAGCCACGGTCAGAAACGCGGAGGAATAATTTTCAGAAGTAAGTTCTGGCGGCAGGGTTGGGGGGGATGCATATTTTATTCGATAAGTTCGTAACAACCGCGATACAACGGGTTGCGTAAATCCACTACTTCCGTTTCCTCTATCCGAACGAATTTAAAGCGGCAACTAATCGCGTAATACTTGGCTTAGTTTTAAGGAGATTAATGTTACGGGGGCTGCGCACACCCTTTGTTTCGTTCGTTCCTCCGCGTCGCTCATATTCCCCGCAGCGTCCCCCCCTGCGTCTTGTTGTTTCCTTGTTGAAAGGGATCAAGCATTATCGAGTTATACTTTTACGAAATTGCCAAACGTGTTTCGAAGATTGTTCAAAGGGGTTTGAAAGTTAGGGTATGAATTTGTTAAGTGAAATAGCAATTTTCAAATTCTATTATACCAAGATTTTTAATCAGATTCGTGTAAAATGGAATAGCATGTTTTATTGTGAATGGTGTTATACGTTGCGAAAGAGTTTTTTCAAGTTTGTCTCTTCCAATTACTTATTATCGATCGCTCGAAGGATTATTTCCAGATCAATTAGATACTTAATTAGTTAACTTGGGAATCTCTTTTTCTATCAATTCCAACCAATGTTTCCAATTGATAATAAAACTTAATTTTTTTCTCGATCAATCGGTGTTGCACTCGGTAAACATTCTTTCTCCGGAAGAATTTCTCTTTAAACAACCTTTAGCGAATCCACCAAGTGGCGCAAGTTTCCAAGAGTATCTTTATCATCATCATCATCATCATCATCATCATCATCATCATCATCGTATTACCCGTCAAAACGATCTCCGATCCGTACAAGCCATCTTTTCAGAAAGGTTCAACTCGTCTTTAAAAAACTTTAGGCTTCGTAGAGAGAGAGGAAAAATAAAAACATCCACGTATTCCCCGAGTTAACAAAGTTTTAAAAGGGATCAGAATTACCGGCTCCTCTTCTTCGTTACCGTTTCTCTTCTTTTTCTTTTTCCTTCCCGGCTTCCTTTCTCTTCCGCCTCCATCATCCTCTTCCACCCCTCCCTTTTCCTTCCCATGATAATGTAAAGCCTCGCCTCGTATAATTACATACGAATCTCGAATCAATCAGTTCGAGAACGAATACGGAATACAAATAATAATAACAGTATTTCGGCTAAGTTTAATGCAAGAAAGCTGCGAGAAAGAACGAGATCCTCGATAGAAAGTCGAGGTCGATCCGATTACTTTTTAAAAGGAACGAGTCCATTTATCTCGGCCATGCCGAGTGTATTTTATTTCTCGAGATGCTTCCATTCTCGAAATCGCGATTATGATACTTTATCCGGGGGAAAAAGCTCGACTAAGCGACCGATCGTGGATGATATTTCTCCGGCAAAGAGCCGAGATATGTTTGTCCGAGGGAGAAAATTTGCTGGATCATTGCGCGAGGATAATTTCCGGCGAACCGTTTCGTTACTTAAGGCATTAGTATCTTCTGGAAATTGTGGTTTCGCTGTAACGCGAGAATGGTTTTGGCAGAGATACATGTCGTTCAAAAATCTTGGAATTATTTTCTGTTCGTCGCGTAATTGGCGGATTAATTGAAAGTTGATTGAAAGTTTTCATGGGAATCGTGTGGAAATTATTATTATTATTTTTTTTTTTGGAAAAATAATTCTTTTACGAGTCTGTGTCAACAATTTTTCTAAGCGAATCGTTGTGATACGATTTCACACCGCGCTTAGGAAGAGTATATATTACGA